TTCGGGCCATTTGGGCTGATATTGGCCATTTGGTGGTCAATTAACCCGAAATCGGATGAAGATATATATGGGAGCTATATCCAAATCTGAACCGATTTCGATAAAATTTAAAACAGCTATTTCTGTGCTCCATCTAACACCTGGTACCAAATATCACGGTTGTGGAGTGCATAGTAGGAATGGGAGGGACTTAAAGATCAAATCGGATGAAAGATATATATGGGAGCTATAGCTATATCTGAACCGATTTTCTCCAAATTTGATACACTTGCTTCTAGGCCGAACTCGGTTGGGTGTGCCAAAATTCAGGTAATTTGGACTGATAGTGGACATTTGGTGCACATTTAACCCGAAATCGGATGAAGATATATATGGGAGCTATATCTAAATTTGATCCGATTCTCACCAATTTCAATAGGGTTCGTCCTTGGGCCAAAAAAATATTGTTTGGAAAATTTCATCTCAATCGGTTAATAAATGCGACCTGCATTTTGTTCACAAGAATACATGGACAGACGGACGGACGGACAGACGGACTGACATGCATAAATCGACTCAGAAAGTGATTCTATGAAGGTTCTCAAAAGTAACTATGGGTCTATCTCGTTTCCTTCTCCATGTTACAAACAAATGCACAAAGACATAATACCCTTACCACTATGTGGTGTAGGGTATAATTATGGCGTTTGACTTTGTTGCAGTTTTTTATCTCAGCCTGTATATATGAGAACTATATAACATTCTGAACCGATCTCGATAAAATTTGACAAAAGTATTTTTGAGTTCCATAAGTTATCTGGTACCAAATATTGTTCTTGTGGAGGGCATATTACGCATGTGAGGGACTTAAAACCCCAAACCGGATGAAACATATATATGGGAGTTATAGCTATATGTGAACCGATTTCCACCAAATTTGAAGTTCTTACCAAAATTCAGTTAATTTGGGCTGATATTAGCCATTTGATGCACAATAAACCTAATATCGGATAAAGATATTTATATGGGAGCTATATTCTAATCTCATCCAATCGAGATTTAATTTAACAAAGGTATTTTTGAGCTCCAGAACTTATCTGGTAACAAATATCATTTTCGTAGAGGGCATATTACGCATTTGAGGGACTTAAAACCCCACATCGGATGAAACATATACATGGGAGCTATAGCTATATCTGAACCGATTTTCACCAAATTTGATGTACTTGTTTGTAGGATGATTTCAGTTAGAATTGCCAATTGGGATTATATTAGTCATTTGATGCACAATTTACTTGAAAACGGTTAAAGATATATATGGGAGCTACCTCTACATTTGAAATGATTCTCACCAATTTTCGTCCTTGGGCAAATTTATGTTGGAAAATTTCATATCAATCAGCTGATAAATGCGACCTGCATTTTGTTCACAAAAATATATGGACAGACGGACAAACTCAGAAAGTGATTCTATGAAAAAGCTGTTGTCGCTGTTGTCTCAATGTTACAAACTGTTGTCTTAATGTTACAAACAAATGCACACAGACCTAATACCCTTACCAATATGTGGTGTAGGGTATAAAAAAAAACAATTTAAACGTAATTTCTTTTTAAAAATATTCTAAGGTTCATAATATTACGCACTGATCATTGCATTGATTGCAATCTGCCGACCAGCGGTAAAGAGGTCCATTAAAAAACTTAAATTGATTTCAATATTGACACATTGAATATTCATTCAAAGATGAAGTTAGGATTTTGTAAAAGGTATGACTTCGATAATGTCTTTGTAAAAAGAAAGAAAAACAATAGAAACTCTATCGGTAACATTTTTTAACAAAACAAAAGAAAATCTCAAAATGTTCCTTCACTTAACATTGTGACAAGGGAAATAAATTTTAGTTTTGACCTCTCTAGGGAGTATTTATAATGTTTCGCTTTGTGAAACTGAAACCAATACCACAAAGTGAAAAACGAACAATGAAACGAAAATCCGCAACCTGAGAAAAAAACTGTCACCCTTAGGTACAAGCATGGAGGTATGTATGTTCAAACACCTACCTACTCAAATAAAAGTTTCGGCATTTTTGTTCCAAACTCCACTTTCATTTCGAACATCAGATAGAGCATTGAATACCTATACACAACGACTCCTTCCCCTCCTCCCCACTGGGGAAAAGAAAACATCCACGTCCACACCCCCACAACTAGGTATGAGAATGGTATCACAACTTCCTTTCCAAGCTTTTTCAATGTCTATGGATTTCTATTGAGAAAATGTTGCCATGTTCTGGCTATATTCGATTATGGCTGTTAATCCCTTTTATTTCGGTTTGCCACTTCTATGGCTGCCAATGATTAGCATGAAAAACACATTTTTCTTTATGTACCCAACCAACGAAGCAAATGTGCCCAAATACCAAGAGAAAAAGAAATCGAGTGGAAGATGACTTAAGCTGCCTCTAAATGCCATAAAAAATCTCATGAAAAATGCATATTTGAAGAAAGTTGCCCTACGTTAGTGGTTGGTTGTTGACGTGATTCGTGCTCTATAAAAATGGCTTAAGTCAGGCGATAGACACATATTTACTATAAAATGTTCACCTTTTCACCACCTATTCACCTTCAACTTAGAAGATGTGAATATATAGTCTTAGGAATCTATGAATTTATTCATGGGATCCATTATTTTATATTTTAATACCAAAAAGTTAAAAAAGGCATTTGACAACCGTAAAAAAGAAAATATTAAAGAATATGTCCGAATAACCCGTTCCAAATTGTTTCCAATAATTTTAATTTTTCCAACTATCCCAAAGGCCAACGCCCACCGTTTTATGATAAATATGTTTCAAACTTGGCTCATCAAAATATTTCTATTTCAAGTTCACGACCTGGTGTGAAGATGGGATATATCGGTCCACTCCTTTCGGTACCTCCCCCACAAAAGGACACATTTTTGAATAATCATGAAACTCGTAAAACGCGAAATAAACATCCGATCCTCTTTAAATGTTACTCATCCCAACATTTTTATTCACACGAGATCTGATGTAAATATAGGATATATCAGCTCACTTCCTCTGGTACCTCCCCCCATTAAGGAGTCAACATTTTAAATAACGAATCGCTTGTAAAATACCATCAGATTCTTTTCAAATTTCACACAGCCTCATATTTTTGCTGACATGAAAATGATAGATATCGGCCCAGCCCTTTTGCTATCTCCAATAAAACCAGTAAAGAAAGTCTTAAAGTCGGGCGGGGCCCGAGCTGCGCATAACAATTAAAAGTTTTTATGAGAATTCAATCATACACGCTATGATTATAATTATAATTTAAAGTTCAAAGGACTAAATATGCCGAATTTGTATCTTTTAAATTCGGACTTATATTGCTCATTTGGTGCAAAATTAATTTGAAATCGGATAAAAATATATATGGGAGCTATATCCAAACCGGAACCGATCTCGATAAAATTTGGCAAATATATTTCTGAGCTGTATTTGATATATTTCCCTGAATATCGTTGTTACAGAGTGCATATTAGGGCTGTGGGTAACATATATGACAAATCGGATGAACAATATATACGGGAGCGATAGCTATATCTGAACCGATTTTCACCAAATTTGGCATACTACCTTCTAGACTCAATTCGGTAGTATGTGCCAAATTTCATCTAATTTGGGCAAGTATTAGACGTTTGGTGCACAATCAAAGGTAAATCGGACGAAGTTATATATAGGAGCTATATCCAAATCTGAACCGATCTCGATGAAATTTAGCAAATGTATTTCTGAGCTGTATTTGATATATTCCCCCAAATATTGTTGTTACAGAGTGCATATAACGGCTACGGAGGACAAAAATAACAAATCGGATGAACAATATATATGGGAACTATATCTGAACCTATTTCGATCAAATTTGGCATACTTATTTTCAGGTCCAATCTGATCGTACGTGCAAAATTCCATACAATTCGGACTGATATTACACGTTTGGTGCACAATAAAAGGCAAATCGGACGAAGATATATATGGGAGCTATATCTAAATTTTGACCGATTATCTCCAATTTCAATAGAGTTCGTCCTTGGGCCAAACAAATGATTTGTGCAAAATTTCATCTGGGCAGGGCAATAAATGCGAACTGTACTTTGTTTACAAAAATACATGGACAGACGGACATGCATAAATCGACTCAGAATGTGATTCTATGCAAATCATCAAAAGGAACTATGGGTTTATTTCGTTTCCTTTTCCTGTTACAAACAAATGCACAAAGACATAATACCCTGACCACCTTGTGGTGTAGGGCATAAAAAGGTCACACGTTTCAATAGTCTAATAATCAATCCCTCATAAGTTGCACTTCCGTATAGATTGAAGTGGAAAACTTCGATTCACTAGATCTTTGTACCCCACGTATATTTCAGCATTTTCTTTGATACTTTGACTGATACTGATACTACTCGATCAAGGTAAAATTCTGCCGGCCTTTCGGCACCTGCCTTAATTTGGTATTTTAGTTTTCACCGGAATTATTTCCAGTTTGAAGATATTAGAGATATTTTTTAGCCGAATTATTTAAAATTTCGTATTTTAAGTTCGTAATGGGTACTACAGACTATGACAAAAAATTGTATATGCAGGACCAGGTCTTCGTAATGTTCCAAGTTCATTTAAAATGGTGGAGGGTATTAACAGTTCGGCCCGCCCGCCCTTTTACTAGTTTTATTTGTTTATTAAGATTCCTGATTCCTTCGTAGCCAGTACTGCCAATCGCCGTGGGCAGTCACTGGAGGGAGCTGTATAACTTATTTGTAGTTTACGCAACTAAAAGGCTGTATGGCGAATTTTGGATTTTATATCTAATGATGTCAGATTGCTTTGACACACTAAGTAAAGCATAAAGGGAAACAATCATTTTAATTAATTACAAACTATTCCTTTCAAGTCTCTACACCTCAGACTTTGAGGTCCAAGCCGAAATGGTAAATAAAAAAGAAAACTTACCTGCCTGATACCTTTAGTTGAGGATCCCTATAATCTCCTTGACGTCTACAACATGTAAAAAGCTTACATTTACTTGCTAACTAATTCGTGACAATTGTTCATGATAACTTGCTTCTTATAGTACGTTTATATATATGAGGGTTAACCCACTGGATTTGGATTTAAATTGTCATTTCCATTACTTTTACTTCAAATAAATCCTCTCAAAGTAGGTTAACCCTACAAAAAGTTGTAACGTAAACATGGCATTAGTCATCTTTGGCAGAATAACTTTGTTTAAGATCTTGGAGCAGAACCATAAGATTTCATAATATTCAAAGTTATATTCGTTAGTAAAACATCCATTTCTTTCATCTGACGAAGCGTCAGCAGTATAGCTTAATGCAATAGAATCAAATGTAGAATAATCCGCTTTTGTGCATATCTCGTTTATGGACTAAACTGCTTTAGAGCTGTTTCATCGTGTATCTTTATAAGCGAATCTAGTTTTGTCATCAGAGGTCTATTATCTCGTGGGCTTTTGATAAATCCTTTAGTGGCTGCAAAATAAGAGATTTTATTTCCGTTACTTCAATATGCAGCCTATAGCCATCCATAGATCTTACCAAATTCATTGAAACATTAACTTATCTAGCAGATCCACATCCTTTTTTCAGCGAACTAATCTTTATAGTCGATCCCAATATTTTTTATATCGTTCCACAGCCTGCACCACGACATTTTTCTAGAAGGTCAATTAAAAATTTGAGAACGACAAGTAAAATTCCAATAAAAATTTGTACAAAACTTAAATATTTTGATTGAAAAAACACAGCCTATAGTAGGGCTAGGCAAAGAAATTCAAAATAATTTTGTGATTGTATGTGTTTTGAAATAAAAAATATTTCCAGTCTCCCAACATACCAAAATGGCTTGAGAATAATCCCAACATACCAAAAATACAATACAGCTTGAGAATAATATTATGAAAATAGTTTATCATAAGAATTTTTCAACAATGCTTGAGAAACACTTTTTTGCACAAACTTTTCTCAAATCCGTCCTTTGTTGACAAATTTGTTTTGATTTTTTTTGTGAAAATTGTCAACAAAAAATTATTTTCTTTGGTTAAAATCAAAATCACGCGAATTTAGGACCCATTTCCGGACGAAACTCTAAGGTAAAGATGAATAATAAATCTGGGAATCTGTAGTATAAATTATTTCAATCTCATTTCAGAATGGAGGCGTCAAAAAGTTGCAGGAATTCAACAGAAGTGAAGAATAAGTGGAGGAGATACAGAAGCTCAAATAAGGGGAAAGAAAGCATCTAGGTATCAAGGCAACAGGATGCAGTGACAGCTGGGATGGCAATCAATGAATGAAATGTGTAAAATAATTAAAAAATGAATAAATAAATATTTTTTACCATTGAAAAAATAAGCTTTATAAAATATTACTTTCGTAAGCTTATGAATAAGGGTTCCTTTTCGATTATTCTATAATTGTTAAACAAACATTTCTCAATACGTTCTCAAGATTTTCTCAAGCTTTAGGCTTATGTTTGTAAGCTTATTAAAATATTATTCTCAAGTCAATTTGGTATGTTGGGATATTACAATAAGCTTATGAACATAAGCCTTAAGCTTGAGAAAATCTTGAGAAAACATTGAAAAATGTTTGTGTAACAAGTATAGAATAATCGAAACGGAACCCTTATTTATAAGCTTATACTTGAAATTGTAGAATAAGCTTACAATAATAATATTATAATAAGCTTATTTTTGTAATAGTACATAATATTATTATTTTTTTAATTTTTAATCATTTTTCACATTTTTTTCTTGATGGACATCCCAGTAGTCACTGCCTCATGTGGCCTTGATACCCTGACGCTTTCTTCTCCCTTATTTGAACTTCTGCATATCTTCCACTAAGACTACACATCTAATGAATTCCTTCAACTTTTTTGATGCTTCCAATCTGAAATGGGATTGGAATAATTTATGTGAAAGATTCCCGGATTTATTATTCGTGCATACCTTAAGGGTTCGGTCCAGAAATGGGTCCTAAATTCGCGTGATTTTGTTTTTTGCCAAAGAAAATAATTTCTTGCTGACAATTTTCACAAAAAATCAAAACTAATTTGTCAACAAGGGACAGATTTGAGAAATGTTTGTGGAACATAAGTGTTTCTCAAGCATTGTTGAAAAATTATATTTTTATAATATTGTTCTCAAGCTGTATTGAATTTTTGGTATGTTGGGCTTTCTTTGCCTCTCTCTACACAGTAAGAAATATTTTATTAGTCTTTTTTTTTTCATTTTTATATTTGTTTTCGTTGAAGAGCCTTCGAGACGTGGATTTTTTAAAGAATATATTTTGAAGAGACTTTAGGTTTTTTAAAGAATATTTTCTGAAGAGCTTGGATTTTTAAAAAAAAAAATTGTTTTTTGAAGCACCTGCGAGACGTGGAATTTTTAAAAAATATTTTTCGAAGAGTCTTCGTTCTTTTGTTCGTAGAACTAAAAAATAATTGCTCTTGTATTTACACGAGTACAGGGTTGCCCATATCCGACGGACCTTTGGGCCCATTCCAATCGACGAGGCTCTCATCACTGGCTCGTACGGCAGCGATATTCTCGGTCGATCGCCTTGGTCGACTTTTATATGGCCTCTTCGGATTAGAAAGAGCCTTACCAGTCGAAAATTTTTCGTATAAACGCTTAATGGTGTTCTTAGAAGGCGCACTTCTCACATTTATTAATGTTTTAAAAGCACGTTGAGTTTTCACAATTGACTTCTTCTGTTGAATGTAAATTTCAACTATATCGCGTGGCGTCTTTTGGTTCATGGTAAAAATCTGCCTGGACTGACGCTTAAAACGCGGTATGTCATTAAGCGATGTGACATCTCTGTCAAAAGTTATGGCGTTGCCAGATGAGTCCGTCGAATATGGGCAACCCTGTACTAGGAACAATATTTCAAAGATGTTTAAAGTTCTGGGCAAAACCAAGTTAATAATACCCCATTCAAAGAGTTTTTTGGAATATAATAACATAAATCGACTGTCTTTACTAGGTTTTGTAATAATCATGGACCATTTTAATACATACGAAAAAAATGCTTTAGCATCCCAACATTAAGTGCAGTACAGCTTGAGAACAATATTATAAAAACAAGTAAGCAAAGGCTATAGTCGTGCAGGGCAGACTATGTTATACCCTACAACACTACAATATGTTAGAAGCCCCCTAATGTCTAAATCCATATTGGAAGATTTCGCTTTTGAAATTAGGATTTTGACTAGGGACATTTGCCCAATATTTATGCCCTCCGTCGGGCTGTTAGTTGTTGTAGTCCATTTTACAGCTAAATATAATCCAATGGTCATCCAAAATGTTAGAATTATTCCCTGTCCTTAACTCTCTTCACAGGCGTGTCGATTGGCTTGTGTGATCGGGAAAACATTTCTGTTTTTGGTTAATTTGAACCCCTAAATATTTTGCAATCATCTCCAAAAGCAAGAAGCCCCTCTGTACCTCCAAATTTAGACTCATCTATATGATTTGCTTGTCTACGATATTTGGCTATATTCGTCTACGAAATCAGCATAAAAAAGCCAGAAGTCTGCCTTTTGTTTATTTCGGATATCGCCTGTAAGTAATGCTAGTATTTTTTTTTTACACAAAATTAGTGGTGTATTGTACCCGCTGTCCCAAACTCTAACTTTATGCGAGATTTCGTTTGTGACCTTTATAATGGCTGCAAAATCAGGAACATTTTTAGTTGTTGGTCCATTTCAACCCCAAATATATTGCGGACATCTTTGAAAACAATAGGCCTAGCCCTTCTGAGCCCAACCCTACCTTTGTGAAAATTTTCGTGAGGATCGGACGATATTTGCAATCTGTATATAATAACTCCAACCTGTGTTGTAAGGTTACGAAGTTAAATAACAATTGGCTACTGCCAAGTCCTCAGCAGCAATTTTCAATTCTCCATTTCAATGCCTAAATTTTTTGCAATCAACTCCAAAAACAATAGGCTTCCATTCTGACATCCATGCTCTTACCACAATCAATTTCGTGAGAATCAGTCTATAAATGTGACTTATAGCGAGATTACAAATAAACATGGATATACCGATGGACGGAAGCAGAAGAAGAAGATCTATATGTAAGAACCAATATCCAGGACCCACGTTTCGAGGTGTTAAAACTTTTTAGCCCAAGCAAATGTATTATAAACACATAGTGTTGCAGGCTATAAAATCGGTTGGTTGTTGCAGGCTTTAAAATCGGTTATCGTAGGATTTGTTCATTCTTGCAGTTCTGGAATAGAGTTATAAAAAAATATTTCGTTAATTAACTAAATTTTAATTTTAATTTATTATACATGTTTACGTTCACACAAACACAATCACACAAACATCTTTCAATCTTCATCTACTGTACCTGCAAAGGAGCATGCACATTCACACAAAGCCATAAATATGGTTATTTTATCAATGGAATTAAAATCCAGCAGGGAAGCCCTCAAAAGAGTTTTGAAAACAAAGCAAAACCATATTATGCCATACAAGTTGTATGCACTAACGCACTCATTTGCGCACTTCATTATGGCTGCCATATAATATCATGCTACTGAATTGTTTTAAAGAGCTCCATCTATAAGAAGATTAAAATTATAATCGGGCATTAAATGAAGCTGCGCTCTTACCTATTCACATAAATGTAACCATAATATAACTTTGACTAAGTCCTGAATGAGAATCACCGGGAAAATAATACTTTTATTGTCATGACGGGAATTGCATGGAAAATGTCCACTCAAATTAATGCGAATGATTTATTTTATAGACTGGCACACAAACAGACTTTTAAAAATATATAATAGATATGCTGGAGAGCGAACTACGATATGAGGAAAATACGCTTTGTGCTTCATTTCTGAATGTAACGTATAGGTTTATATTACTGTCACAGACAAATCATTCTTACGTACTTCCTTCAATTTCTGTCAGACGTTTCATTTTTGAAAGGAGTGGACCAATATAGCCCCTCTGGGTCTAGCGCTATTAGAATTAAGTAATTAATTAATTTCACGCCTTCGTATAGCCCCCCCAATTCCCTACACCACATGGTGTTAAGGGTATTATGTCTTTGTGCATTTGTTTGTAACATAGAGAAGAAAACGAGATGGACCCTTACTTACTCTTGAGGTTCTTCTTAGAATCAGTTTCTGGGTCGATTTATGTATGCCAGTTCGTCTGTCCATGTATTCTTGTGAACGAAATGCAAGTCGCATTTATTATTATTGAGATGAAATTTGCAAGCAATATTTGTTCAGCCCAAGGACAACCCCTTTTGAAATTGGTTATTATCGGATCCGATTTAGTTCCCATATATCTTTAACCGATTTCGGGTTAATTGTGCACCAAATGGCCAATATAAGTCCAAATGATCTGAACTGTGGTACAGCTCTTATAGAGAGAAAAGCCTGTGCCAAATTTTATCAAAATCGGTTCAGATTTCGATATAGCTCTTATATATATCTTCAACCAATTTCGGGTTTTTTGTGTACCAAATGTCGAATATAGGTCAAAAAGTTCTGTATTTTGGTACATCCGACCGAATTCAGTCTAGACGCAAAAAAAATCTATTCAGAATTGGATATGCCTCCCATATATTAGTTCCCTCTGAAACCAAACTATAACTGCTCTAAAGCCAAATGCCGATAGGTGGTATGATCAACTTCAAATAAATTCTTTTGATACGGGTGCTCTACTAAATATGCATAGTGGTGTAGGGTATCATATAGTCGGCCCAACTTTTGACTTTTCCTTACTGATTTGAATATTATCATGGCCTATGACCAAACTTGCCGACGTAGGTCCACGTCTTTGTATAGACCCCAATACAACGGCAACTCCTATATTCGGTTTTAATGATTTTTAAAAGTATTTTCAATATATTTGTATACCCTACACCACAAGGTGGTCAGGGTATTATGTCTTTGTGCATTTGTTTGTAACAGGCAAAAGGAAACGAGATAGACCCATTGTTCCCATTGATGATTTGCATAGAATCACTTTCTGAGTTGATTTATGCATGTCAGTCCGTCTGTCCGTCCGTCCGTTCATCCGTCTGTCCGTCAGTCCGTCCATCCGTCTGTCCATGTATTCTTGTGAACAAAATGCATGTCGCATTTATTATCCGATTGAGATGAAATTTTGCACAAATCATTTGTTTGGCCCAAGGACGAACCCTATTGAAATTAGAGATAATCGGTCAAAATTTGGATATAGTTCCCAAATATACCTTCGTCCGATTTGCCTTTTATTGTGCACCAAGCGTGTAATATCAGTCCGAATAGAATGGAGTTTTGCACATACAACCAAACTAAGCCTGAAAATAAGTATGCCAAATTTGATCGAAATCGGTTCAGATATAGCTATAGCTCCCATATATATTGTTCATCCGATTTGTTATTTTTGTCCTCCGCAGCCGTAATATGCACTCTGTAACAACAATATTTGGGGAAATATATCAAATGCAGCTCAGAAATACCTTTGCTAAATTTTATCGAGATCGGTTCAGATTTGGATATAGCTCCCATATATAACTTCGTCCGATTTACCTTTTATTGTGCACCAAACACCTAATATTGGCCCAAATGGGATGGAATTTGGCACAAACGAACGAATTGAGTCTAGAAGCTAGTATGCCAAATTTGGCGAAGATCGGTTCAGATAAAGATATAGCTCCCATATATATTGTTCATCCGATTTGTTGTATTTGTTACCCGCAGCCGTAATATGCACTGCGTAACAACGATATTCAGGGAAATATATCAAATACAGCTCAGAAATATCTTTGCCAAATTTTATCGAGATCGGTTCCGATTTGGATATAGCTCTCATATATATATATATATGATTTCAAATTAATTTTGCTCCAAATGGGCAATACAAGTCCGAATTTAAAAGATACAAATGCTTCGGCATATTTAGTGCTTTGAACTTTAAATTATAATTATAATCATAGCGTGTATGATTGAATTCTCCCATAAAAACTTTTAATTATTAAGTGGAGCTCAACTAAATTAGCAAAGTGGTGTAGGGTATCATAATATCGGCCCCGCCCGACTTTAAGACTTTCTTTACTGGTTTATGGTGGAGTGTATACGAATTTTGGCCCGTCCGAATTCACTGATTTTTTACTAAAATACCCATAAAAA